ACCCCAGTCCGTGAACCTTTGCAGTCAGTGTTTCCTGCTTATTGATGTATATTGTTCTGAATAAGCGCCTTCTACTTCTTTAAAAATCCAAAGTACAATGGAAAACAAGCCAGCAAAGCGTGTTCCATAATTTTCTAGTTGGTCTTTTCTCAGAGCAGTCTCACGGCGTTGCGTCTAGAGCACCAGCGAGGCCTGGCTGTCGGCCTGGCTGTCTGGTGCGCAGCATCCTCTTGGTCTTCATTCCACACACAGTCTTGCTTTCGAGAAAAGTCGTAGTGAGGCAGGTCTCTGTGTTTAGAGCCCTGATGGTTTCATTTGTGTCTCCTCAGTTGCTGTGTGTTGTTCTGGTTTTGTGATCCCATTAAATGCTTTCACGAAGTCTGTGGCTGGCAGAGTTGGGGTGGCACAATCTGAGATTCCACAGCCTCAGGAAGAAGGTCCCCAGAATGGAGCCATGACAGGATGGGGCACCAGGGCTGGAACTGCAGGGCTAAGGTGGAGTTTGAAATGCTTGGTTCACTTTGCATTTTCGGTAGAGCTGATCACATGGTGTGATTACAAGCTGTTAGCACTCTGCTGGGACGTTGTCGCAGTCTCTAGACTAGCCACCTGTGGCCAGCCCTGGGCCCAGCTTTGTAACCACGGGTGAGGCTGGAAGGTGGGTGGTCAGAATCTGCCAGCAGCTCTGAGGGAGAATCGGGCGGGCTTTACAGAGATGGCAGCCTTGGAAACCCTGGGCGGCAGGTCTGCTCGGTCCTGCAGGCTGCTACAGGTCAAACGGACTCCACAGTGTGTGCAGATGGTGAGCGTGAGCACCTGGCCTGGTTTTCGCACTGTCTCTGTGTGTGTTATCTGAATTGGATTGATGTACTTAGCTACCGCCCTGGTAGCAGAGTGGTTGCAGTTGGGCTGTGGTCTGCAAGGCCAGCAGTTTGAAACCACCAGGCACTCCGTGGAAGACAGACGGGGCTTTCTACGCCTGTAAAGAGTTAGTCTTGGAAACCCACAGGGTAGTTCTACCTTCTCCTATGGCAGCGGTTCTCAACCTATGGGTCGCAGCCCCTTTGGGGGTCAAATGACCCTTTCACAGGGTTTGCCTAAGACCATCAGAAAACACACATTGTAACCGAGACACCGCTCCTCTATCAATCTTTACATGGGTCCGTCCACATGCAGATACGCCCACATACCAGAAGCCAGCGTGAAGACTGCTACCCATACTACACCATGCTTCAAGACAAAATTTCACTTATCTGTAATTAGAAATAAATATTTCACAATATGTAATTACATGTTGTTTTTGTGATTCATCACTATGTTTTAATTATGTTCAATTTGTAACAATGAAGATACATCC